TTGGAGATCTCTGGGTCTGATGCGACAACCAGCTTGTACTGGATGACCTAGAGATCCCCACGGAGGATGCAGAGACTGGGTGGCCATTTATTGGGAGGGCTTTGTTTGTGTCTTCTTGCATGGCAGTGCATCCAACTAGATGGTCTTTGTAGTCTCGTCCAACTGTGCTTCTCTTGATATTTGTAGGTCCTCCAGTGTGATTCTATTGCCAACGTCTGGCACAGGATTGAGCCAAAGGACCTATAAATACCCAAAGAAGTGTCTTCTCGAGGAACAAAGTGTGAAATAGAACATCCAAAGGGGGTAACACAGACCCCTAACCTGCCTCCTTTGATAGTATCTCCTTCACAAAGTCTTTAATATCCCCAAATACGAGATGGATTCCAGTATGATTCATCTCCAAGTGAGGCCTCTACAATGTTCATCTCCAAAGGCAAATTTCCACCAAAGATCGATTCTGCTTTGACACCAGGCTAGGCTCTGCTCCTGGTATCCAACCAAGTCCTCCATGATTAATTTGCATGCAAATTGAGAAGAATTTAGGTGTCTTGAAATCAACTCATTCTGCTAACTCTGCTTTTCTCTCTGTCTCCCTCAACAGATGCGTGGAAAGAGTCTATGTCATCGGCATTGAAGAAAAAGACACAATTGACAGAGAATGAAACGGATGTTGAAGAACATCATCACCATATGAAATAAGGATGTCATTGGCATAGAGGAAAGAACATCATCAGCATAGAGGAAAAGAATATTGTTGGCATAGAGAGGGAAATACATCATCAATATCGAAAAAAGGATATCATCAGCATAGAAGAAAAGAATGTCAACAACATAGAAGAATAGATTATCATTGACATAGAAGAAAATAATATTGTTGGCATAGAGGAAAAGAATATTGTTGGTATAGAATAAAAAATAACCAATGATGTAGAAGAAAATGACGTCAACCATGAAGAAGACAAGGATATCGTCGGCATAGAAGAAAATGGTCAACAAGATAGAAGAATAGATTATCATTGACGTAGAAGAAAATAATATTGTTGTCATAGAGGAAAATAATGTTGTTGGTATAGAAGGAAAAATAACCAATTATGTAGAAGAAAATTACGTCAACCATGTAGAAGACAAGGATATCGTCGGCATAGAAGAAAAGAATGTCAACAAGATAGAAGAGATTATCATTGGTGTAGTAGAAAATAATATTGTCGGCATAGAGGAAAAGAATGTTGTTAGTACAGAAGGAAAAATAACCAATGATGTAGAAGAAAATGACGTCAACCATATAGAAGACAAGGATATTGTTGGCGTAGAAGAAAATAATGTCAACAGATAGAAGAATAGATTATCATTGACATAGAAGAAAATAATATTGTTGGCATGGAGGAAAAGAATGTTGTTGGTATAGAAGGAAAAATAACCAATGATGTAGAAGAAAATGACGGCAACCATATAGAAGACAAGGATATCGTCAGCATAGAAGAAAATAATGTCAATAAGATAGAAGAATAGATTATCATTGACGTAGAAGAAAATAATATTGTCAGCATAGAGGAAAAGAATATTGTTGGTATAGAAGAAAAAATAACCAATGATGTAGAAGAAAATGACGTCAACCATATAGAAGACAAGGATATCGTCGGCATAGAAGAAAAGAATGTCAACAAGATAGAAGAGATTATCATTGGTGTAGTAGAAAATAATATTGTCGGCATAGAGGAAAAGAATGTTGTTAGTACAGAAGGAAAAATAACCAATGATGTAGAAGAAAATGACGTCAACCATGTAGAAGACAAGGATATCGTCGGCATAGAAGAAAAGAATGTCAACAAGATAGAAGAATAGATTATCATTGACATAGAAGAAAATAATATTGTTGGCATGGAGGAAAAGAATGTTGTTGGTATAGAAGGAAAAATAACCAATGATGTAGAAGAAAATGACGGCAACCATATAGAAGACAAGGATATCGTCAGCATAGAAGAAAATAATGTCAATAAGATAGAAGAATAGATTATCATTGACGTAGAAGAAAATAATATTGTCAGCATAGAGGAAAAGAATATTGTTGGTATAGAAGAAAAAATAACCAATGATGTAGAAGAAAATGACGTCAACCATATAGAAGACAAGGATATCGTCGGCATAGAAGAAAAGAATGTCAACAAGATAGAAGAGATTATCATTGGTGTAGTAGAAAATAATATTGTCGGCATAGAGGAAAAGAATGTTGTTAGTACAGAAGGAAAAATAACCAATGATGTAGAAGAAAATGACATCAACCATGTAGAAGACAAGGATATCGTCGGCATAGAAGAAAAGAATGTCAACAACATAGAAGAATAGATTATCATTGACATAGAAGAAAATAATATTGTTGGCATGGAGGAAAAGAATGTTGTTGGTATAGAAGGAAAAATAACCAATGATGTAGAAGAAAATGACGGCAACCATATAGAAGACAAGGATATCGTCAGCATAGAAGAAAATAATGTCAATAAGATAGAAGAATAGATTATCATTGACGTAGAAGAAAATAATATTGTCAGCATAGAGGAAAAGAATATTGTTGGTATAGAAGAAAAAATAACCAATGATGTAGAAGAAAATGACGTCAACCATATAGAAGACAAGGATATCGTCGGCATAGAAGAAAAGAATGTCAACAAGATAGAAGAGATTATCATTGGTGTAGTAGAAAATAATATTGTCGGCATAGAGGAAAAGAATGTTGTTAGTACAGAAGGAAAAATAACCAATGATGTAGAAGAAAATGACGTCAACCATGTAGAAGACAAGGATATCGTCGGCATAGAAGAAAAGAATGTCAACAACATAGAAGAATAGATTATCATTGACATAGAAGAAAATAATATTGTTGGCATGGAGGAAAAGAATGTTGTTGGTATAGAAGGAAAAATAACCAATGATGTAGAAGAAAATGACGGCAACCATATAGAAGACAAGGATATCGTCAGCATAGAAGAAAATAATGTCAATAAGATAGAAGAATAGATTATCATTGACGTAGAAGAAAATAATATTGTCAGCATAGAGGAAAAGAATATTGTTGGTATAGAAGAAAAAATAACCAATGATGTAGAAGAAAATGACGTCAACCATATAGAAGACAAGGATATCGTCGGCATAGAAGAAAAGAATGTCAACAAGATAGAAGAGATTATCATTGGTGTAGTAGAAAATAATATTGTCGGCATAGAGGAAAAGAATGTTGTTAGTACAGAAGGAAAAATAACCAATGATGTAGAAGAAAATGACGTCAACCATGTAGAAGACAAGGATATCGTCGGCATAGAAGAAAAGAATGTCAACAAGATAGAAGAGATTATCATTGGTGTAGTAGAAAATAATATTGTCGGCATAGAGGAAAAGAATGTTGTTAGTACAGAAGGAAAAATAACCAATGATGTAGAAGAAAATGACGTCAACCATATAGAAGACAAGGATATCGTCGGCATAGAAGAAAAGAATGTCAACAAGATAGAAGAGATTATCATTGGTGTAGTAGAAAATAATATTGTCGGCATAGAGGAAAAGAATGTTGTTAGTACAGAAGGAAAAATAACCAATGATGTAGAAGAAAATGACATCAACCATGTAGAAGACAAGGATATCGTCGGCATAGAAGAAAAGAATGTCAACAACATAGAAGAATAGATTATCATTGACATAGAAGAAAATAATATTGTTGGCATGGAGGAAAAGAATGTTGTTGGTATAGAAGGAAAAATAACCAATGATGTAGAAGAAAATGACGGCAACCATATAGAAGACAAGGATATCGTCAGCATAGAAGAAAATAATGTCAATAAGATAGAAGAATAGATTATCATTGACGTAGAAGAAAATAATATTGTCAGCATAGAGGAAAAGAATATTGTTGGTATAGAAGAAAAAATAACCAATGATGTAGAAGAAAATGACGTCAACCATATAGAAGACAAGGATATCGTCGGCATAGAAGAAAAGAATGTCAACAAGATAGAAGAGATTATCATTGGTGTAGTAGAAAATAATATTGTCGGCATAGAGGAAAAGAATGTTGTTAGTACAGAAGGAAAAATAACCAATGATGTAGAAGAAAATGACGTCAACCATGTAGAAGACAAGGATATCGTCGGCATAGAAGAAAAGAATGTCAACAAGATAGAAGAGATTATCATTGGTGTAGTAGAAAATAATATTGTCGGCATAGAGGAAAAGAATGTTGTTAGTACAGAAGGAAAAATAACCAATGATGTAGAAGAAAATGACATCAACCATGTAGAAGACAAGGATATCGTCGGCATAGAAGAAAAGAATGTCAACAACATAGAAGAATAGATTATCATTGACATAGAAGAAAATAATATTGTTGGCATGGAGGAAAAGAATGTTGTTGGTATAGAAGGAAAAATAACCAATGATGTAGAAGAAAATGACGGCAACCATATAGAAGACAAGGATATCGTCAGCATAGAAGAAAATAATGTCAACAACATAGAAGAATAGATTATCATTGGCGTAGAAGAAAATAATATTGTCAGCATAGAGTAAAAGAATATTGTTGGTATAGAGGAAAAGAATGTTGTTGGTATAGAAGACAAAATAACCAATGATGTAGAAGAAAATAATGTCAACCATATAGAAGACAAGGATATCGTCAGCATAGAAGAAAAGAATGTCAACAAGATAGAAGAATAGATTATCATCGACATAGAAGAAAATAATATTGTTGGCATGGAGGAAAAGAATGTTGTTGGTATAGAAGAAAAAATAACCAAAGATGTAGAAGAAAATGACGTCAAGCATGTAGAAGACAAGGATATTGTCGGCATAGAAGAAAAGAATGTCAACAACATAGAAGAATAGATTATTATTGGTCTAGAAGAAAATAATATTGTTGGCATAGAGGAAAATAATGTTGTTGGTATAAAATACCATTGATGTAAAAAGAAAACGATGTCATCGGCGTATAAGAAAATACAATCATTGACATAGAAAAAAAAGAGAAGATATCATCAACATAGAGGAAAAGAAGTGTCTGTGTGGAAGCAACCGGAAGCAACCGGTGTTAACCAGGGGAAACCTAAAAACGGGCTCAGACCCTAGTCTGCCCCGCTTCCTTATCTGGAAGCACAAGAGTGACCGGTAAGAGCGATCCTTGCGGAGAAGGGAAAGTCTGTAACTCTTTGGTCCCGAACCGCGGCGAGACGTAATCCGTGAGGAAGCGGATATGGAACTGCCGCCCGATGCAATAGGTTAGATTTTCCACCACGGTGCATTGGAAGTAGGCCGGAAAGGGCATGGGATACGTGGCACATTCGTACCACAGCTTGGCCTTGGCACCGCAGCGGTAGACGCTGATGCCTGCGCTCTGGTTGAGGTCGAAGCGGTAGATGAACCCATTGGCGGTCACCATGTCCGTGGTCCGGTCTTGGCTGCCGCCGGTGAGGTTGACTTTCCAAGTGTCTGAGCGGGCCACGTACTTCAGGAGTGTGTAACGCAAGGTGCCGCCCGTCACGTAGATCTCTCCGTCGCATGTGGTGGCGGTGTGGGCCACCGCAAAGGTGTCATTGGGCAGTGGGGCGACAAAGGTCCAGCGGTCGGTCCTCGGATCGTACCTGGGGAAGAAATGGTTCTCTGTGTTATTTTACTGGTTTCAGAGTCACATTGTCGTATTTTGCATATACAGTGTTCCCTCACTTATTGCGGGTGTTCCATTCCAGGCCCACCTGTAAAAAGTGAAAATCCGTGAAGTAGGGATGCTATATATGTACAGTGTTCCCTCACTTATCACGGGTGTTACGTTCCAGGTCCACCTGTAAAAAGTGAAAATCGCAAAGTAGGGACACTATATATGTACAGTGTTCCCTCACTTATGTGGGTATTATGTTCCAGGACCACCCGTAAAAAGTGAAAATCCGCGAAGTAGGGATGCGATACATTTACAGTGTTACCTCACTTGCCGCGGGTGTTATGTTCCAGGACCACCTGCAAAAAGTGAAAATCCACAAAGTAGGGACAAAGTATATGTATAGTGTTCCCTCACTTATCGCTGGTGTTATGTTCCAGGGCCACCCGCAAAAAGTGAAAATCCACGAAGTAGGGACAATATATATGTATAGTGTTACCTCACTTATAGCGGGTGTTATGTTCCAGGCTACCTGTGAAAAGAGAAAATTTGCGAAGTAGGGACGCTATATATGTACAGTGTTCCCTCTCTTATCGCGGGTGTTATGTTCCAGGCCCACCCGCGAAAAGTGAAAATCGCAAAGTAGGGACACTATATATGTACAGTGTTCCCTCACTTATTGCGGGTGCTATGTTCCAGGCCCACCTGTGATAAGTGAAAATCTCGAAGTAGGGACGATATATATACACAATGTTCCCTCACTTATTAAAGGTGTTACATTCCAGGACCACCTGCGATAAGTGAAAAACCGCGAAGTAGGGATGCTAAATATGTACAGTGTTCTCTCACTTATCACGGGTGCTATGTTCCAGGCCCACCCGTGATAAACAAAAATCTCCGAAGTAGGTCTGCTATATATATACAATGTTCCCTCACTTATTGCAGGTGTTACATTCCAGGACCACCCGCGATAAGTGAAAAACCGTGAAGTAGCGACGCTATATATGTACAGTGTTCCCTCACTTATCGTGGGTGTTATGTTCCAGGACCACCCGTGATAAGGGAAAATCTCCGAAGTAGGTCTGCTAAGAGCCCCCGGTGGCGCAGTGGGTTAAAGCGCTGAGCTGCTGAGCTTGTTGATCGAAAGGTCGCAGGTTCAATTCCGGGGAGCGGCGTGAGCTTCTGCTGTCAGCCCTAGCTTCTGCCAACCTAGCAGTTCGAAAACATGCAAATGTGAGTAGATCAATAGGTACCGCTCCGGCGGGAAGGTAACGGCGTTCCATGCAGTCATGCCGGCCACATGACCTTGGAGGTGTCTACGGACAACGCTGGCTCTTCGGCTTAGAAATGGAGATGAGCACCACACCCCAGAGTCAGACATGACTGGACTTAATGTCAGGGGACTACCTTTACCTACTTGTGACATGTGTGTATATATATATATATATATATATATATATATATATATATATATAAAGGTAAAGGTAGTCCCCTGACACTAAGTCCAGACATGACTGGACTTAGTGTCAGGGGACTACCTTTACCTATATATAATATATATATATATATATATATATATATATATATATATATATATATATAAAGGTAAAGGTAGTCCCCTGACATTAAGTCCAGTCATGTCTGACTCTGGGGTGTGGTGCTCATCTCCATTTCTAAGTCGAAGAGCCAGCGTTGTCCGTAGACACCTCCAAGGTCATGTGGCCGGCATGACTGCATGGAGCGCCGTTACCTTCCCGCCGGAGCGGTACCTATTGATCTACTCACATTTGCATGTTTTCGAACTGCTAGGTTGGCAGAAGCTAGGGCTGACAGCGGAAGCTCACGCCGCTCCCCGGAATCGAACCTGCGACCTTTCGATCAACAAGCTCAGCAGCTCAGTGCTTTAACCCACTGCGCCACCGGGGGCTCCATATATATATATATATATATATATATATATATATGATACTCCACTTTGGCAGGAAAAACGAAATGCAAAGATACAGAATGGGGGACAGCCTGGCTCGAGAGCAGTACGTGTGAAAAAGATCTTGGAGTCCTCGTGGACAACAAGTTAAACATGAGCAAACAATGTGATGTGGCGGCAAAAAAAGCCAATGGGATTTTGGCCTGCATCAATAGGAGCATAGTGTCTAGATCTAGGGAAGTCATGCTACCCCTCTATTCTTTGGTTAGACCACACCTGGAATATTGTGTCCAATTCTGGGCACCACAATTGAAGAGAGTTGTTGACAAGTGGAATGTGTCCAGAGGAGGGCGACTAAAATGATCAAGGGTCTGGAGAACAAGCCCTATGAGGAGCGGCTTAAGGAGCTGGGCATGTTTAGCCTGAAGAGGAGAAGGCCGAGAGGAGATATGATAGCCATGTATAAATATGTGAGAGGAAGCCACAGGGAGGAGGGAGCAAGCTTGTTTTCTGCTTCCCTGGAGACTAGGACGCGGAACAATGGCTTCAAACTACAAGAAAGGAGATTCCACCTGAACATGAGGAAGAACTTCCTGACTGTGAGAGCCGTTCAGCAGTGGAACTCTCTGCCCCGGAATGTGGTGGAGGCTCCTTCTTTGGAAGCTTTGAAACAGAGGCTGGATGGCCATCTGTCAGGGGTGATTTGAATGCAATATTCCTGCTTCTTGGCAGAATGGGGTTGGACTGGATGGCCCAGGAGGTCTCTTCCAACTCTTGGATTCTATGATTCTATGATAATATCCATATGTCTATAATTATAATATCTGTCTGTCAATAATATCTATACATATACAATAATAATACCTATATGCCTATAATATCTATGTCTAAAATAATAATAATAATATCTATATACATGTAATAATATGTATAAATTTAAAATAATAATAGCAATATAATATCTATAATAATGATAGTAGCAACGCGTGGCCGGCTACAGCTAGTACAATAATAATAGTAATAAATAAATCTATACATATAATAAAAGTCAAAGTTTGTATGCGGAGGACAAAAGTGTGGCGGTGTGGCGGGAGGAGTATGTGCCAGCGTTCTGATTGGCTGCTGCTGTGGTGCTATTTGCATATGGTCTCTGATTGGCCAGCTTCAAGGAGCCCCTGGTGGAGAAAAGAGTTCATGACAGAAATGGGGACATGAGAAGGAAATTTGCATATGGTCTCTGATTGGCCAGCCTCAATTCCAAGATTCCGGGATGACAAAGAGAGGAAAGGAAAAGGCCAGAGGGGGCGGAGTCAGAAAATTACCAATACAGTCCAAACTTGGCACATAGACCTCTCATGACCCACTTTACATCCTGGTGTGGTTTGGCTGGGGATGGACCATGGATTATGGGACTTGCAGTACCTTTGCTCAATTCTTGAGACCACTGCAACCCTCATCCAATTACCGATAAAGACCAAACTTGGCACACTGAGTCTCCATGACACACTCTACATCCTGGTGCAGTTTGGAGGAGGATGCACCATGGACGATGGGACTTGCAATACCTGCACTCCCTTCCTAAGACCATTACAACTGCCAACAATGATGGATCAGGACCACAATTTACACAGAGAGCCCGCATGACCCACTCTACATCCTGGTGCGGTTTGGAAGAATTTGACAATGGATGATGGGACTTGCAGTCACTTCACTCACTTCCTGAGACCACTGAGACCCTCGCCAGTGACTGATCAAGACCAAACTTGGCACACAGAGTCCCCATGACCCACTCTACATCCTGGTGCACTTTCAAGGAGGACAGACCATGGATGATGGGACTTCAAGTACCTCCACTCCCTTCCCAAGACTGCTGCAACCCTCATCTAATGTCCGATCAAGACCAAACTTGGCACACAGAGCCCCCATGACCCACTCTACATCCCGATGCTGTTTGGAGGAGGACGGATGATGGATGATGGGACTTCCAGTACCTTCACTCACTTCCTGAAACCACAGCGACACTTATCCAAATACCAAGAAAGACCAAACTTGGCATAGAGAGCCCCCTTGGCCAACTCAACATTCTGGTGAGGTTTGGGGGAAAACAGACTATGGAGGATGGGACTTGCAGTTCCTAAACTCACTTTCTGAGACCACTGTGACCCTCATCCAATGATTGATCAAGAACAAAACTTGGTGCACAGAGCCCCCACGACCCACTCTCCATTCTGGTGCAATTTGGAGGAGGATGGACCACAGATTATGGGACTTGAAGTACCTTCACTAACTTCCTGAGACCACTGCGAGCCATATAAATAACTGATAAAGACCAACTTTGATACACAAATAACCTGGGCAGCGCCGGGTCCCCAAGCTAGTAAATAATAAAAATAAGTAATTCTGGAGGAGGACTTTCTGTTGACCCATCTCACTCCCCATCCCATGACCCATATGTGACGTACCGCTCGACTGTGTAGAGGCACTCCCCGCCGATGGCGTAGAGGTACCCGTCCAAGGCAACGAGCTTGCAGTGGGGCCTGGCTTGGTTCAATGGGCAGATCTCCCTCCAGATGTTGGTCAAGGGGTTGTAGCAGAAGACTCGTTTGGATGGCCTCTGGGCCCTCCCTCGGCCTTCACAGCCGGCCACCAGAAAGAGGTAGTTGAACATGCTGCACACGGCACACCCTTTGGAAACGGCTTCCAGCGGCATCCGCGTCAAGGGGTGCCAAGTGTCCTCCCGGTCATCATAAAAGCATAGCCTGCTGGCTAGGTGGCCACGCTCCTGGGAGCTGACATCGGCCACTGTCACGTACTTCCTCCCCCGTTGTCTCCTCTTTAGGATCAGCTCCCTTTCGGCGGCATTGAGCCGGCTGTAGATGCCGTGCGACCGGAGGACTTGGAGGTAGTTGTCAGCCATGACCTTGTAGGCCGCGTCCCGGAGGGCCTCCAGCTTCTGCTTCTTGGCCAGGCACAAGACCTCGTGGCAATTCCCCAGGTCCAAGTGGATGTCCAGAGAGGACTCAGGGCCGAGTGGGACATGGAAGAACTTGGCCCCGGCCACCTGCTCCACCGTCAGTTCCTCTTTTGTGTCACTTTGGACGCTCTGCATGGATCCCACCAGTGAGGATGTGGAGCTGGAACGGGCCATGACAAGAGGTGGAGTTTCCTTCCCTGAAGACCCAAGTGTTGGAGAACCGAATCCTTTCATGGGCACTTGAAGCTCAGGGTTGTCTACGATTTTGCGGAAACTGTCATTCCGGGTGAAGGTATATCTCGATAGCAGGTGCTTCTTGGTGTTTCTTTCCGTCATGGCATCCCCGTCTCGACCTTTAGATTTTGGAACATCTCCTCCAGAAGATATCTCCATGACCTTCTGAAAAGTCTTGCTGTCATTTTCACGGTCCGAACGATCGTGGTCAGGTTTCAAATACAATTTCTTCTCAGGTTGATTGAGAACGTTGAAAGGTTGAGGGTCCTCAATAGAATGAGAGAACTTCTCCGTCTCAACTGACTTGGAGGTGGATTGAAGATCGTAGTTATAGACTTTGCTTCTCAGGTTGGGCTCTGTTTGACCATCACTTCCTTCCTTGGACTCCTTCCCTTGGAGAAAGTTCTCCTCAACTTGAACCTTCGCAACAGAGGAGAAGGTGAAGGAGGAATGGGTCCTCATGTGAGTTTGCTTCAGGACCAGACCCAAGTCAGATGTTGTCTGAAACGAATCAGCCTTTTCCTTTGGTATTCTTTGAATCTGGACTAATGATGGACTGGGACCTTCTTCTCCCAGTAGATCCCCATTCTCTGTTTCTAGGGAGGACCAGTTGTCACTTTCAGGTTGACGTTCTCCAAAGATCTGTTGGTCCCCACATTCATCAGCATCCCATCCTATCTTCTCATGGGTGCTGTTAGGATTGCAAACACCATGGTCTTGGAAATTTGGTTCTTCTGTGGTGACCTCAGCTTGGTTTCCATAGCTAAGGAGGCTTCCAGAAGTTGCTTTTTCCTCCTTCTCTGACACCAAGCCAATTGTTCCTGGCTGATCTCCAACACCGAGGTGACTAACCTTTGTCCGCTCTGCTTTCTCTATCTCTGCTTTATCTCTTCTCTTGGCAGGTGTGCCTCGGAGTCTGGACTTCTCGGCAACGTCAGGCCCACCTGGATCCACAGGTAAGTCGGCCGAGCCACCGTTCGCCACTGTCTCTTTAATGTTGTCCATACGTCTCTGTCTCACGCCCGTTTCGATTCCTTCCGTCCCACCGAAAAACACCTCTTTCCGTCCCGTGAAAACCGGCTCCTCTTCCACCCTCTCTCGATCCGCGTCGACACCCCCATCATCCCCTGATCTGGTGACACGGGACTTGCAATACCTGTACGCCAAAGTCAACAACAGCAAAGCGGCGGCCGAAAGAGCCAGTCGTCCAACCAGTTGCATTTCGGACAGCTGGTCCCTGCCGGCTTGGACTCCGTGGGTCATTCTCTCGAGTCAGGAATGTGAAAAATCCAATAAAAATCAGATTAATGATTGCCGAGACGGGACAAGGAAGATGAAGAGGCCTGCCTCCATTGACTCTCTGGAAGGTGACTTTTACCTGCCGACAGGTAAGACGAGAAGGCCGTCTCTCCGCTCGCTCGGGTGTCCGCTTACCACGGGAGCGTTGCATGTTTACGCAAAGTGGGCCGGGCCGGATGCAGCCGAACAGAGCCTGGGATTCCCAAAGAGGACATCGGGATTCGGTACATATTCGTAATCTTATCTATTGTGTAATGATTTGGATAAATAAGACAGGCGTTGCAGGAAGGAGGAAGTTTAATCTGAAAAGAGATTCATTCTCCACCTTTCTTTGCCTTCTCACTGGCTCGGGTTTCCAAACCCTGCGGAGCATATCATGTCTTGCAACTTCAAAGCCTGGCTGCTTCCTGCCGGGGGGAATCCTTTGTTGGAAGGTGCCAGCTAGCCTATTCTATTTTACGATTCTCTTTTACGATTCACATTATTTTGCTCACAATCGAAAGAGGAAAGAGTGAGACGAGGAAAAACATATCCAAAGTATTAGCAAACCTAGATATTTGCATTTTCTTCTGCAGGTCTTCTCAAAAAGGTAACAGGAGCAGAGGATGCTGATGGGGTCCTTGTATTATAATAATATAATATAATAATATAATATAATATAATATAATATAATATAATATAATATAATATAATATAATACAATATATAACCCTAATATAATATATAATATAATATAATATAATATATAACCCTAATATAATATATAATAATATATATAATATAATATAATATAATATAATACATAATATATATAATATAATACAATATATAACCCTAATATAATATATATAATATAATATAATATATAACCCTAATATAATATAATATAATATAATATATAACCCTAATATAATATATAATAATATATATAATATAATATAATACAATATATAACCCTAATATAATATATATAATGTAATATAATATAATATATAACCCTAATATAATATATAACAATAAATATAATATAATATAATATAATATAATATAATATAATATAATATATAACCCTAATATAATATATAATAATTAATATAATATAATATAATATATTTATCCAGCCTGAATGAATGTTTATTCATTCAGGCTGGAATTGCTCTTTATTTACTGTCCTGATTCTAGAGCAACATTCTAAAAAATAGGGAATTCCAGACAGGAAACAAGCTGTCTGGAATTAGCTAGCTAACACCTTCCAACAAAGGATTCCCCCTGGCAGGAAGCAGCTAGGCTTTGAAGTTGCAAGGCTATTGAGTGCTAAGCTGGCCAATGGCAGCATTTACACTTTCCTCCAACAGACAAGAATTCTTTCTCCCACCCTGGACATCATTCCACACACACACACACACACATATACACACACACATACACACAGTCCACTTGCCTAGTTTCTAACAGACCTCTATACAGATACCTTCACTGATTGACTTTGAAGTTGCGAGGCTATTCAATGCTAATCAAGGTGGCTAATTGTAACATTCGCTATTCAGTGCTAATCGTTGGCCAGTGGCAACATTGACACCTGCCTCCAACAGACAAGAGTTCTTTCTCCCACCCTGGACATCATTCTATATATATATATATATATATATATATATATATATATATATCTGTAGAATGATGTATAATAATATATACGCACACACAGTCTACTTGACTCGTTTCCAACTCGTCTCTATGCAGAGACCCTCCCTGATTGACTTTGCAGTTGCAAAGCTATTCAATGCTAATCAAGTTGACCAATGACAACATTGACACCTGTCTCCAACAGACAATAGTTACTTCTCCCACCCTGGACATCATTCCACAGATATACACAGTCCACTTTGCCTCGTTTCCAACAGACCTCTATACAGAGACCCTCCTTGATTGACTGCAAGGCTGCTCAATGTTAATCAAGGTGGCTAATTGCAATATTCACAGTTGCCTCAAGCAGACAAGAGTTCTTTCTCCCACCCTGGACATCATTCCACAGATATATATATATATATATATATATATATATATATATACACACACACACACACACACACACATATACATACATATATACAGAACAAATATATGCAGATACCTTCAATGATTGACTTTGAAGTTGTGAGGCTATTCAATGCTAATCAAGTTGGCCAATGGCAACATTGACACCTGCCTCCAACAGACAAGAGTTCTTTCTCCCACCCTGGACATCAATCCACACACACACACACACACACAAGAGTCCACTTGCCTTGTTTCCAACCGACCTCTATGCAGATACCCTCACTGATTGACTTTGCAACTGCAAGGCTATTCAGTTGCAAGCTAGCCAATGGCAACATTGACACCTGCCTCCAACAGACAAGAGTTCTTTCTCCCACCCTGGACATCATTCCACAGATATATATCAACCCCACTTGCCATGTTTCCAACAGATGTACATGCAGATACCCTCACTGATTGACTTTGCAGCTGCAAGGCTATTCAATGATAATCAAGCTGGACAATGGCAATACTGACACCTGCCTCCAACTGACAAGAATTCTTTCTCCCACCCCGGACATTCCACAGATATATCAACCCTACTTGCCTAGTTTCCAACAGACCTACATGCAGATACCTTCACTGGTTGACTTTGCAGCTGCAAGGCTATTCAATACTAATGTTGTTTATCTTATTGTCTATGTTTTTAATTATTATTGCTGTTTTATTGCTTGTATTATTGTGTTTGGGCTCGGCCTCATGTAAGCCGCACCGAGTCCCTTGGGGAGATTATTATTATTATTATTATTATTATTATTAACATAATAATAATAAAGTTAATAAATAATAATAATAATAATAATAATAATAATAATCAAGCTGGCCAATGGCAACATTGACACCTGCCTCCAACAGACAAGAGTTCTTTCTCCCACCTTGGACGTTCCACAGATATATCAACCCCACTTGGCTAGTTTCCAAAAGACCTACATGCAGATACCCTCACTGATTGACTTTGCAACTGCAAGGCAATTCAATGATAATCAAGCTGGCCAATGGCAACATTGACACCTGCCTCAAGATATATTAATCCCACTTGCCTAGTTTCCAACAGACCTACATACAGATACCCTCACTGATTGACTCTGCAACTGCAAGGCTATTCAATGATAATCAAGCTGGCCAATGGCAACATTGACATCTGCCTCCAATGGACAAGAGTTCTTTCTCCACCCAGGACATTCCACAGATATATTAATTCCACTTGCCTAGTTTCCAACAGACCTACATGCAGATACCTTCACTGATTGACTTTGCAACTGCAAGGCTATTCAATGATAATCAAGCTGGCCAATGGCAACATTGACACCTGCCTCCAACAGACAAGAGTTCTTTCTCCCACCTTGGACGTTCCACAGATATATCAACCCCACTTGCCTAGTTTCCAAAAGACCTACATGCAGATACCTTCACTGATTGACTTTGCAACTGCAAGGCTATTCAATGCTAATCAAGCTGGCCAATGGCAAGCCAGAAGGGATGGTTATGATGGGAGTATATTTCGAGCAAGAGGGTTTGTTTGGAGTAGAAAGGAGGCATTTTTGTCTGCATTCGAGGGCAAATATGGGTCAGAATTGCCCAAAGAATGCACCATTACAAGTGATGTCGAGCACCCCCCCCCAAAAAAAATAAGGGATAGTGACTTATAGTTCTGCAAAGGGCAAGGGCACCAGATTACACAACAAGGACAAGCACTGGCGCATTGGGGGCTATAAGGAGTTCAAGTGCCCAACGAAAGGTGAAATGCAATGGAAGAAAATATCTGGAGGGCCCCAAATGTCAGTTTTGGAACTGGAAGCAAAGACCGAACGTTTCGCTGCAATCTTATCCCTGGAAAAACAGGTTGCGATAAACCGCCAGCAAACATGTGCGCTCAGTCTCCACTTTCCCCCCAGGAACCTGTCGGCACAAAGGCAGCATGTATTTATTTTAATCTCGACTCGTTGGCGGACTGCGCGGGCGCCGTATCTGGATCAACGGGGCCCCGGTGGAGAGCCGCCGAGTGGCTTCGGCAGTGAAGGTCAAAGCAGACGACCTTGGGGCAAAAGTACGAATCGGAAAGAGAAAGAGAGTTCGGAACTTTTCTCCGACTTTGGGATGCTCTGAGCTGCATCCAACAAGAGCAATGACTAGTTGCTGAAATGTGCTTCTGTCTAGTCCTTTCTGGTTGACTCTGCAAGGTTGTCGGGAGGATGAAACATTCTTACTTACTCACTTAGGCGATCCCTCGTTGGACGAGTAGGATAGTCTTCTAGGATCAATATTCTTGTGGATCCCTATTCTTGACCTGCATCTTCTCCCGCAGTGAGGACATTGGTTTCCAGGTGGAAGGCAGTCCCGGTCAGGGTTGGCTTGATGCGCCTTCCTCTTGGCACATTTCTCTCTTTCGCCCTCCATTCGTGCCTCTTCAAATTCTACAGCACTGCTGGTCACAGCTGACCTCAAGCTAGAGCTCCAGCTCATCCCGTGTTTGGGTATCAGCCAGCACGTCAACGACTTAAATCTAGAAATAGTTTTCTAAGATCTACAGAGATACTCGCTGGAACACCTCAGCAAGTGATAGTCCAAAAGTGGCAGGCTCAAACCCAGAACCTCAACCAATGGCTGATACCAAATGAGAGACTCCCCCCTGGGCACACAGAAGACTGGGCGACTTGGAAGGCGCTGAACAGACTGCACTCTGGCACCACGAGATGCAGAGCCAACCTTCAGAAATGGGGCTACAAAGTGGAATCCTTGACATGCGAGTGTGGAGAGGAGCAAACCACTGACCACCTGCTGCAATGCAATGGAGGACCTTCTTGCAGCAACACCAGAAGCACTCCAAGTGGCCAGATACTGGTCAAAGGACATTTAATCAACTACCAAACTCACACATTTTGTATTTTCTCTGTTTGTTTGCTTTGTTCTGTTAGAAATGTAATATAATTGACTGGCTGCCCTGACACGAGAAATAACTAAATAAAGCTGACCTCCAGCTGGAGTGCTCAAGGGCCAGGGCTTCCCAGTTCTCCGTGTCTATGCCAGAGTTTTTAAGGTTGGCTTTGAGCCCATCTTTCAATCTCTTTTCCTGTCCTCCAACATTCCCTT